CTGTATATATACTGTATATATATATATAGAGAGAGAGAGAGAGAGAGAGAGAGAGAATAGCCGAATGTTCATGTGCTCAGAAAGCTGACGTCTTCATTTAAACACCCACTGCCATCTTCCTTTCACATTACTGGGATGTTTGCTGACATGGAGATCAGATAGTTCCCATCATGCCGACAATGACGCAGACTCTGACCGGTTTCGATTCATTAGTCCAGTGTGCCACTCTTGATTATTTTCATCAGAGCCGATGCAAACGGGTGTGGTGACTCGTTCTCCTCCTCCATCTCTCCTTACATTATCCAGCTTCAGCACAAAGGCATAATAAGCCTCTGAAAATCTCAGTGTGTGGATCCGGAGGAACTTATGATCATTGTGCAACCAGTCAATGCACACGCTTGTTCTGTTTATCCAGAAAAATCCAGTTGCAGACAAACCAGAAGTGAGACAACAGTTGCAATATGAGGCCAGTTCTGTGCTGTTTCCTCATTTGCTGTGATGCAGATTCAAACATTAGGCAACACAGGGAGTGTTGTGAGCTCATTCAAACCGAAGGGAATTTCCTTTGCCACCAACTCAGAGTCAGCATCATACTTTACTCTCGCGGACAGCAGTGTCAGACCTCAGAAACGTCCACGCAAGTCATTCTGCATCTAAACAGTAGGGCCAATATCTGTGTTTTACAAGGGAAATACTGATGGAAAAGGATAACATAGAGAGGAGCAGTGTTCATCTGACTGGTGAAATCACTGTATGTTTTGCAACAGATGCAGTTTCAAGTTAAAAGTTTTTGTCATTTTATTAGTCTCTTTAAGTCTATTTGTTTTTAAGTTGTAGTTTTGCTTTAATTTTAGTTATTGTAGTACTTGAACCTAAACTAAACAAAAATTAGAAATATTTATTTTTCAGTACAATCATGTTTATTTTACTTCAAGTAATGAAAATGTTTTTTTTTTATGGTTTTAGTTTGTTTAAATTAACAGTAATAATCCTGGCAATATTTTCTTAATGCAATGACGCTTAGTTATATGCCTGCAGTATGTGTGATTAAAACGCCTAAAATCAAGTGTAGCGTTAGTTCTAGTAGGTCACGTTAGACAAGCTCGCATCAGCTGACTCTCAGCTGATCCCCATCTACCTATAGGAATACGACACCTATCTAAGCATTCATATATAAGGTCCCGCAGTATTATCAGCAGTTTTCACATTGCTCAATAGCTAATTACCCTCCTCCATAATACGACACCTATCTAAGTATTCATATATAAGGTCCCTCAGTATTATCAGCAGTTTTCACATTGCTCAATAGCTAATTACCCTCCTCCATCCCCAGCTCCTCCTCTGCCAGTCAGGATTCAGCCTTCTGATTATCCTTTGAATCAGACTAATTCTAAAATGTGTACATAAAGTTATTGAACTTTAACGATATCTGCAATACATTTATGTTGGTTCTGTTCTGTTTACCCTGGGGGGGGGTATCGCTGCTCTCCCTGCTCTCATCCATGCTAGGCTGCATGGATGTGCAGGGAGTTCTTGCCCAGAACAGAACCATACCACCAATCCAAACTGTATGCTAATTGTCAATCATCTTTGACGATAGTGGTCCTGACAGAAATGTTTTGCATAAACAAACAAATAATCTGAAACTGTGTAGACCTTCATGAGCATCAATTATTAGATGGTCAGTAGGCTTTTGCATACTAACACGGGGTGTTCCAGCTACAGTCCTTCTGTTTTCTCTGTTTAAAGTGCATAAACAGCTGCTGGAGCTCCACACTGAGCTGTAATTGATCAACAGCTGCTGCTTATCGAGTGTGTTTACAGTCCAGGACAGATCATCGCACGCGGAGCTCATGCATTAACATTACAAGCTGCTTTAACTCTTAAACATGCATGAAGAACTTTGCACATAAGAATAGTTTTACACCTAAAAAAAGAATAGTTGTTTTAAAAAGTTTGAAATGACGCACACTTGAGATGAAGACTGCAGTCGTATCAGTGGCTCACGAAAAGCCTGTATTTATCGTACATATGAGGAAAGAATGTTGACATCACGTATCCAGATACCTTCGACACAAAATAAATGAATAAAGTTTGACAAATATGCCTGCAGATAAACCGTACAGTATGCATTCACGCCAACTGGTGTAAAGCACACACATCCTAACGACTAGCGACATAAAAATTATTCTCAATATTTACTTTCTTAATATATGTTCGAGGTATCATTGTTCACGATTCATCAGAACTATTTGTATTTTTCTTTAAAATATAAATTTTTCAGCATTTTTCCTTTTACACCTGACGTCACCAACCAACTACGCATAAAAACAATCAATGATTGCGAATTTGATACAGAATGTAAATTAGCAAGTTAATTTACATTGAGTAATTTAATAATTTGAATTGAGTAATTACATTTCAGACAAAATATCAGGTGATTTTTACAAACGAATTTTGCAGAAGCAACAGTCGAGTGTCTCCGAGCGACATAAAGCAGCAGTGTATCATTCCTATCGATTCAATGACTCACTCATAAAGACACTCACCTGTTACGTTTCTGAATGAATCAGTGTTTAGAACAAATCCATTCAAATAAATGATTCAATGACGCACCCCTAAAGCCACTCGTCCGTTTCGATCCTTAATGAATCAGTGTTTTGAACAAATCAATTCAAATGAATGATTCAATAACTCACTCATAAAGCCACTCACCTGGTTTGTTCCTGAATGAATCAGTGTTTAGAATGAATCCATTTAAATAAATGATTCGATGAACAGTTATGATGAACAAATCAACTCAAATGAATCATTCAGTGACTCAATGGCAAAATGGAGGCCATGTCCACACGTACACCAACACTGCAACCGGAGTTTTTGAAAATCTTCACCCTGGCAGGCGTTTTCAAAAATGTTCGGTTTCAGTAACCTGGTGCTGCGTTTGGACGAACGGCCAAACCGTGTAGAAAAAGCTGCGGTTTTAAAAATAACCGCGTTCATGTGGACAGGGTCTCACTCATAACGCCACTCACTTGATTCGTTCCTAAATAAATCAGTATTCTGAACAAATCAGTTCAAATCAATGATTCAGTGACTCACTCATAAAGTCTGAATGAATCAGTGTCGTTGAACAAATCGCTTGAATTAGTGATTCACTGACTCACGCCACCTATTGGTGTAGAACTATAACTGCAGAAAGAGTGGCTATAAAATCAACCCCACTAACACACAAACACAAACAAGTGGAGGGATTCAGTTCAAACAGTACATTAACTAGGGTGAATCCAGGTAAAATTTGGGACACTTTTTGCCATTTTGTCAATTATCCTGAATTAACCGTTGTACAATTTTCATTTGAGGATGGGTGATTGTGTTTCTTTATGTTTATGAGTTAGAATTGTTACTGTTTCTTTATTTGTCTAATTTAGCAGTTTATGATGCCCATTATATTATATTGTCATCACTGATGTTTTTGTGATTGGCAGCACTGACTGTCATAAGTTAGTTTAGAACAAACTTTGCTGGCATCGCTTACTGTCCACTTTTACAGTTTTGTGAGTTGCTCTGTATTGAGGGTTGGAATTGTTTGTCAGTTTCTCGTTCTGTTCTTCACGTCCTGCTGCGAGCTGATGTCTCTGGACGATTTCTTTCCCTCTGTAGATCAACTGCGTGACGTTTCCTTTTCCACTGCACATGTCTGAACAGCAGCTGCTCAAACCAGATGAGTGGAGCTACTGCGATTATTTTTGGGTAAGCAAGAACGTCTCCAACCACTGACAAACCACAAAGATTTGCTCACATAGTTTAGAAAAGCCTCACAAACAGTGCGAATGACATGCTTTGCGTATCCTTTTATACTGTTTAACAGCATGAATTTCATCAAACATCTGTAGTAATCTGCTTTGGCATGTAGTTTTGATTGGAGAAGATCCTTGTTCTGCCACTTGATCACGCTTCTGTGCTCATGAATCTGCCTTGTGTTTTGTCTGTGGTTCCAGGCGGACAGAAAGGACCCGCAGGGAAGCGCCAACATCTCAGGATTCGAGGTTCTGCTGCAAAAACAGCTGAAGGGAAGGCAGATGCAGAAAGAGATGGCCGAGTTTGTGCGGGAGAGGTAAACGTTTGTCATCCAGACTGAAGACAGAAAAAAATATTCACTCAAAAATTGATAATAAGTTTCACAATTACAAATAAATGACAAGTAACGCATTGAATTAAACATGAATTTTGAAGTTAAAAATCTGAAATAGTATTTTATTTATCTTTCTTTCTTTCTTTCTTGCTGTGTAAAGGATATAATTTTCAGGGAAAAAAAAGTGGATAAAAATTGTGTAATAATAATTAATAATTCAATATTCATTCATTCATATATTTATTTAGTTATTTATTTACAGGGTCAGTGGTACCAAACAAACATTTACCATAATTTTTCTATAGTAACTGTAGTACCTATAGTGTTTTGGCAAAAATATACACTTTTTTTATGTGTAGCAGTTGTAGTTTATGGAAAAAAAATTCTGCCTACAAAAAAAAAAGAAAACCTTAATTACTGAAAATGTTTAAAATAAGAAATAAAGTCACAATTGTGACAATATAAAGTCACAGTTATGAGAAACAAAGTCACAAAAATATACACTTTTTTTATGTATAGCAGTTGTAGTTTATGGAAACAAATTTCGGCCTACAAAAAAAAAAAAACAATTACTGAAAATATTTAAAATAAGAAATAAAGTCACAGTTATGAGAAACAATGTCACAGTTGTGAAATATAAAGTCACATTGTGAGATATAAAATCATAATTGTGAAATTTAATGTTACATGTCACAAGTCTCCACTGCATGGCATAAATTCATAATCCTGTTTTTTGAAGTAGAAAGAAACAGCTAGTTATAGTTTCTGAATGTCTTTATGCTACTATATTTAATAGCACAATAGTTGTTCCGGAAAGCATCATTACGCTGATCTAAACATGGCACTAGTTAGTTGTATGTGTGGTCACTAAGGTCTTACAACAAAATATGGTTATGGGTACGATTGCATTATCTATGTTGGTGAAATTGTGTAATATCTTGATATAGCAGCTGTTATTTCTGTTGCCTTGACTAAAAACACAACAACACAGCGTATACAACTTCCTGTAGCTCATTTCCTGTATTTCATGAATAGTTTTAGAAAACAAATGATTCAGAGTGCTTGATTCTTTCTTGCCGTGAACTTTAGATCTGCTCTTAAACGTAATTCTTCTTCGGTTATGTTTGCGCTGAGATGTGGATAGAATGAGCTACAATCGGGGTTCACATGAAGTGTGTTTGTCCCTGAGGAGAAACATTGGAGTCTGGGAAGGAAATGACCTTAGTGTGTGAAAGTCAGAACAGACATCTGCGCTCAGCCTCTTCACATGTGCCACAGATCCATGTGCTGCGCTCTATCACTCCAGCACAACTTAAATGCCTTTATTTATTTGGCCAGGATCAGGATCGAGGAGGAATACGCCAAGAACCTGTCGAAGCTCTCGCAGATCCCGCTGGCGGCGCAGGAGGAAGGGTACGTCACCTAGCGTTTGGAGGAAAACAATGGCAGACGTGGAATAATACACCCTCTGTTCTCCTTACAAACTCAGAATCTCATGCAGTGACCTTCAGACAAATATAATGATTTATAAACTGACTATTGTGCTCTTAAAGGCATAGTTCACCCAAAAATGAAAATGTGCTCACCCTCAGGTCATCCAAGATGTAGATGAGTTTGTTTCTTCATCAGATTTGGAGAAATGTAGCATTACATCACTTGCTCACCAATGGATCCTCTGCAGTAAATGGGTGCCGTCAGAATGAGAGTCCAAACAGCTGATAAAAACATCACATAAAAAACCACAAGTAATCCACACCACTCCAGTCCAGCAGTTAATGTCTTGTGAAGCCAAAAGCTGCATGTTTCTAAGAAACAAATCCAGCATTAAGACATTTTTTAACTAAAATACAAGTCTGTAACAACGCTTCCTCCAGTGAAAAAGTCCATCTCCTGTTGTCTCTCACATCAAAATCCACCCACATATTTGTTTGGAGCTGTTTTAGCTTATAAACGGTGCTTGATCTGTGCAGATTTCTCTCCTGATTCAGACCAGATGACTTCACTGGAGGAAGCGTTATTATGGATTATGGACTGATATTTTACCCAGAAGCAACAGTTTGATGTTAAAAACATCTTAATGCTGGATTTGTTTCTTACAAACACACAGCTTTTGTCTTCTCAAGTGCAGAGCAAGTGATGCAATGCTACATTTCTCAAAATCTGATGAAGAAACAAACTCATCTACATCTCAAGATGGCCTGAGGGTGAGCACATTTTCAGCAAATGTTCATTTTTGGGTGAACTATAACTTTCAGTGTCACACATCCTCACTATCAAGTGTGCATGTTTTTTTGTAAATCACCATCAGCTGCTGTACTCTTTTAGTGTTTGGTATCAGCACAACTACCAATGATTTTTTTTTCAGCAGCACATCAGTCTGGTAGAGAAGGCTAATTGTTTCATATACAATGCGAAGCGTGTCAGCGAGCGCCGCCCACCGTCCCACAGACAGACGGCACAATCCCGCCATTCTTCTGACTCTCAGCCCCCACTGTGTCGTTCGTCGCTTGTAATGACCATTGTTTTTTTTTTTGTCCGGCTCCTACGTCTGCGCTCACAACCGCTTGTTTATTCCTAAATTCACGGCTTGTGTTGCTGCCGTGCAGAAATCATTGTTGCAGAATTGCAGGTCGTGACCTTTTGGCTTTGCATTTTTGCCATTGTATGACTGGCCTCTGGAGCTGATCATGTGCCATTAGTGCTGTATGCTGCATATACATGATATACACTACTGTTCAAAGGTTTGGGGTGCAATTAAAAAAAAATAATAATGCTTTATGCATCAAGTATGCATTAAGTTGATCAAAAGTGCCAGTAAAGGCATTTATAATGTTACAAATGATTTCCGTTTCAAATAAATGCTGTCCTTTTGCACTTTCTATTCATCTGTGAATCCTGAAAAGTAAAATGTATCACAGTTTCCACAAAAATATTTGGCAGCACAACTGTTTTCAACAATGATAATAATATATCAGAAATGTTTGTTGAGCAGCAAATCAGCATATTAGAATCTTTTTTTAAGAATCATGTGACACTGAAGACTGGAGTAATGATGCTGAAAATACAGCTTTGATCACAGCAATAAATAAAGTTTTAACATATTCACATAGAAAACTCTTTATTTTAAATTGCAATAATATTTCACAATTTGTACTATATTTTTGATCAACAAATGCAGCCCTGCTGAGCAAAAGAAAAGTAAATAATATAAAGATATATGTTCAATGAAAAAGTCAAAATACTGAAAAATATATTTATGTATAATATAGCTAAATGTCCACCTCTCTCAGTAAACAGGAGAAGCAGGTTCAGGTTGGAATCTGATGTCTGATAAGAAATGAATCATCAGATGTATTTTTATGGATTCGTACAGAAATATCTTCCCTTACCAACAGTGAGAAAAATCTGATGAAGAAACAAACTCATCTACATCTCAAGATGGCCTGAGGGTGAGCACATTTTCAGCAAATGTTCATTTTTGGGTGAACTATAACTTTCAGTGTCACACATCCTCACTATCAAGTGTGCATGTTTTTTTGTAAATCACCATCAGCTGCTGTACTCTTTTAGTGTTTGGTATCAGCACAACTACCAATGATTTTTTTTTCAGCAGCACATCAGTCTGGTAGAGAAGGCTAATTGTTTCATATACAATGCGAAGCGTGTCAGCGAGCGCCGCCCACCGTCCCACAGACAGACGGCACAATCCCGCCATTCTTCTGACTCTCAGCCCCCACTGTGTCGTTCGTCGCTTGTAATGACCATTGTTTTTTTTTTTGTCCGGCTCCTACGTCTGCGCTCACAACCGCTTGTTTATTCCTAAATTCACGGCTTGTGTTGCTGCCGTGCAGAAATCATTGTTGCAGAATTGCAGGTCGTGACCTTTTGGCTTTGCATTTTTGCCATTGTATGACTGGCCTCTGGAGCTGATCATGTGCCATTAGTGCTGTATGCTGCATATACATGATATACACTACTGTTCAAAGGTTTGGGGTGCAATTAAAAAAAAATAATAATGCTTTATGCATCAAGTATGCATTAAGTTGATCAAAAGTGCCAGTAAAGGCATTTATAATGTTACAAATGATTTCCGTTTCAAATAAATGCTGTCCTTTTGCACTTTCTATTCATCTGTGAATCCTGAAAAGTAAAATGTATCACAGTTTCCACAAAAATATTTGGCAGCACAACTGTTTTCAACAATGATAATAATATATCAGAAATGTTTGTTGAGCAGCAAATCAGCATATTAGAATCTTTTTTTAAGAATCATGTGACACTGAAGACTGGAGTAATGATGCTGAAAATACAGCTTTGATCACAGCAATAAATAAAGTTTTAACATATTCACATAGAAAACTCTTTATTTTAAATTGCAATAATATTTCACAATTTGTACTATATTTTTGATCAACAAATGCAGCCCTGCTGAGCAAAAGAAAAGTAAATAATATAAAGATATATGTTCAATGAAAAAGTCAAAATACTGAAAAATATATTTATGTATAATATAGCTAAATGTCCACCTCTCTCAGTAAACAGGAGAAGCAGGTTCAGGTTGGAATCTGATGTCTGATAAGAAATGAATCATCAGATGTATTTTTATGGATTCGTACAGAAATATCTTCCCTTACCAACAGTGAGAAAGAAAAGTATTGATATTCAGCCTTGTGGATTTGACTCAGCTAAAGTTTAGATAGTTAAATTCCTCCCACGTCTTTTATTGAAAGTGCTCCTATGAATCAGTGCGTCAGTCCGAACGGAAAGGCCTCAGAACGGCTCAGTCTAAACATCCGAAACATCTCAGGAATGAGGCGGTCGAGTCTGATCCGCTCAACACTCATGACTGCAGCATTCATATCCAAACAGAGAGAAGAGAAGGAAGAGAGCAAGAAGAGTTATAAAAAATAATATATATATATTTTTAAAAATTTTATATTTAATATAAATAGTATTACATTTTATTTAAAAAATTATTAAATATTTTATTCAAAATATGTTACATTTATAAAAAAAATGATTTATTCATATATATATATATATATAT